GTGCAAGATGTCAGCCACAGCAGAACAGCTATCACAATTGTTTCCAGTCACTTGTATTCCAGTTAAGATTTTCAAGATATAATGAAACTGTCCAGATCGTTGGTTGTCATAAACATGAAGCTCAGGCCTTTCGACCCAGCCAAGAATCTCTTCTACAGTTTCATTCTGAAAGGATCCACCAGAATCCGTCAACTTTTTTTTTTTCTTAAATTGGACTATTACATATTTTTCAATAAAATAAAGACATAATGAATGTCACAAATCTAAAGGAACAGCATCTGCAGCAGATGGTTTTAAGGAAAGCTTGTGTCTTATGACAGAAGCTTCAAAACGCAACAAAACTCTTCCTTTGTCCGATTTCCCCTACTGTCATTTACGGATCTGCAGTGAACGGCGAAATGATGAGCCTTGCTTTACATGAGGCGCCTTTGCATTGTCACAGCCAAATAAAGCACCAGAGGCTGTCTTTTCTCATCAGGTGATTGTAGTCATTTCACAGTCAGTCAATAAACTCTCATACCCAAGTACACTCTTCTGTCCGCAGAAGGCTCGTACATCTGCTTTCATCACTACCACGAAGGCAACTCCCTTAACAAAAGGCAGTAGCAACCATACAGGCAGCCAGAACCATCCATTCCAAATAACTAGCTTGGGGAAGGGATGTATGGCCTCACATCGTATGTGTTAGCCCAGACAATACCTTTCAGATAGCCCCAGGAGCAACTACCAGAAGCGAAAGAACGACAACAAAAAATTATCTTGGTAGGCAAAGAAAAACCCAGAGAAAAGTTAATGTTTTAGGACAAAGAAGCCACAAACAGCACTCTGAGCAAGCACCGTGGCCTTGTCAGGATCGCCGCCTCAGTTTTATAGCAAGAAGGTAGAAAGTGAAAGCCTGGATTGTGCTTTAAAGGAGCGTGTATTCTCTGCGTAGGAAATTTGCATCGGAGTTGTGCGCGTATGTTTTTTAAAGGCTCTCCATGGTTCACCGGATAACAGCCACACCGGCAAGTATGCAAATGGGGGCTGTCCCAAAGACAATGCAACAGACACGCAGTCAATGGTTACTGTCATCCAGCTCTTTGCGTGACATGCAGACAAGCTTAGAGAACATTGATTGTCCTATAGACTCCGGTGACTGGAGGGAACGACCAGTCGGCTTACACCAAGACACATTTTTCACTCCTGACGTTTTGATAAAGGCTTATTGACCTAAATGAGACCCAAGTTATTCAGGGAACATCGGGGGTGAAAGTGCACAAGCTGTTCTTCATGGTCATACACAAAAACTCCAGGTATCCATTAGCAACTGGCAAATTCCCCCTCCCCTGCCCGTGGCCCTGTGACAGACAAAAGTGGTTTTAATATCTTGTGTTGCATAAGTCTAATAAGCCGCCTCTTGGGGGTGGGGGAGGCTGATGAATTTCTGTCAGCACACACTTATATTAGCAGCCAGAAACTTGCAGACAACAAGGAAAAAATACATTAGAAAATCATGCCTTCCTGAGCTACTAAAATATCACCTCTATTTTCCTGATTAACAGCTTAGCACGAAACTTTACATTAACTAAAAGGATGACAACCTGATCCTTAGTTCGTTTACGCTGGTGGTAATCAGGGCTAATTCCATTTAGCAGGAGTTACCCTGGCAGAGAGCAGCAATGCCTCACACCTGAGAACTTCAGCAAATCAGTTGCACTACAGATTAATTTGGTCCACTGTTTCTTCAATAGTTTCTTCTAATCACCTGCTTAACACCTACCTATTAAATGCTTTGGACAAAAGTGTGTGCTTCTCATGATGAATCAACTAGACTGAAACATGGCTTCGAGAAGATTTAGAACAAAGTAGAAGCTGATATAAGAAAATGGAAGGTTAAAGTGCTGAGCAGACAGAGAGGATGTAAAGAATGAGTGAAATAAGAAACAAAGCAACAGGGGCAAATTAAACCCAAGAGAAAAATTAAAACACAGAGGTAACTGCCTGCAAAACACTAGTGGGGTGTGGATTAAAGCTTTGTGGAGGAGTTTTCTTGGTTAACATTACAGGCACACAAGAACTGCACTGTGCAAGGACCCATTCGACCCTGTTGTTGTGGTTTTAGGCTGATCTAGCAACTAAAACTCACACAGTCTCTCCTTCTCCAGTAAAGTAGAGAGGAGAGAAGAAAAAAACAAAGGGACTGAGGGTTGAGACAAGAACAGAGGGAGCACCCACCAACCATGGTCCCGGGCAAAACAGACGGGACTTTTCTCAAAGCAAAACAGTTTATTAATGGTTACTTAGAAGGACAAAGGGAAACAAAAACCGATTACTCGAGAGGACAGAAAGAAACAAAACCAGATCTTAAAACGGACACCTTCCCCCCCCCCCTTTCCTTTTCCTCCCGGCTCTACCTTCTCCCCCCAGCAGCAGGGACTG